ATATTCCAAGAGAGAGAGAGAGGCACTATGAATTGGATTCAACTTGATGACAGTGGATATAGGAGAGTATTATATAATTATGAATTTAATTTTGGCCATATATGTTATAAAATTTTTGAATTAGTTGTGCTATTTGTTATATATAAATTTATTTTCATATGAGTTTTATTTATACATGTTTCTTAAATAGAATTGGGAAAAACTTTTGTAATGTTTTATAAATTTAAAAACGATTTTGCACTGATCATAAGTAAAAAAGAAAAAGTTTAACTACATATGTATTCATTATTTTCTCATTGATTATCAAGAGATGCAAGATTTCTAAATCTATGCTATGAATAACATTTTATTTTAAGTTCAACAAATTCATCAAAGTGTCACAAAAGTTTAAATGGTAACAAAATGTACACATCATTTTCTTCCTCCAATAGTACTGTTTTGAAGATAAACTTCATGCACAGGCTTCCTTATTATGCATTATGAACTGCTGAGTAGAGAAAGTATAATATATTGTCTTGTATCAAATTGTATTGTATGGAAATACTTTGCTATGTAAGCAAATGGCTAACTAAAAGCAAAGTCAAAATTGTGTTTAAAAGAAACTATGGAATTTTGTCTTGTTGAATTCAAAAGAGAGGGAGAGGAAGTAGTAGGGTGCTGGTGGATGTGAGTTGTGACTGGGGAGATTTCTTTTTCAGTGGCATGCTTAATACCCCCTTTGACTTACTGTTGAATTTGATCTGTCTCTAAATAACTTGGTTTCTCCTTTTTCACATATTTTGTAAATAGGTTAACATTATCTGTTTTCATTTTTAAGTTAATTACTGTATGTTCTGTAACATTGGACTTCTAAGTACTATTTTTTCCCTAACACATTTTTCCGATGAGTCTTCATAATATCTGTCTTCTTTTTAATCCTTAATTACAAATGTTCTTCCAGTGCTATGAAATATAAGACAATGAAGAGTGAGAGAAATAATATACACATATAGAAGCTTAGCCTTAATATTAATATTGTGAACTATGTGTAAAAGAAAGGAATTTTTTCCCAGAAGAAATATTCTTGTCCTTACAAGAATATATGATAGCTAAGAATCAAAATGCATATGGTTATATTCTATTATAAGCTTTGTTTGTCTCAAAAGCACAGCTTTCTATTCTCAAGAAAGCATTCCGTGAGACGTATTTGTTTACAATATGGCAATCTCTCCTAGTTGATGAACTCTAGCTGGGCTACTGATGAACTAGATTGTTCAATTTGCCACTACAGGTGTTACATTGAAATGGGCAGACACCAATTAACAATAAATAAAATATTGACTTATTTGTACTTCATTTCAATAACATTACACTAAGCACCTAACAAATAGTTAACTCTGAAGATAATGATAATGAATAAAATATGGACACTACCTGCAAGGGTATACAGGTGAATTTTTAATAATTTATTCACAGTATAATAAACCTTAGGATAAATTCTGGAAACAAAAAATAAAGAGTTGCCCCTTGTTTTTCAAAAGTACCGATGTTTTAAAATATTAAATGTATAAGCAAAATACATTAGTGCTATGTAATAAATATGTTCATATTTACAGGTATAAAATTCCGAGGAAATACAACATGTAACTTCATATGGTGCTCCTGACGGCTCTATAGAGGATATTGAGTAAGACCTTGAGGAGGTAGAGATGGAGATGGAAAAGGATGACAGAATACATTTTGATAAACGACAAATGAGTGTCCCCAAAGTGAATTATCTGAGAAAAAGGTGTGAAATAACACTACTGCACGTTAACTGTCAAATTGCACAGTCATGTGGAAAGTTTAAAATCGGTTCAGAATGAATTTTCAATAATATTTGTGTTTAGATCATTGGAGAAGTAATCTCTGCTTATTTCACTTGAAATGGAAAGTAGGAGGGAGGGAGATAGATTTGGTTTAAGAAACAAATGTAGAAGCAAAGAAAGACAATTAAATACAAAGAGACTAAAAAGTTATCTCAAAGGATATCAAACATATCTCCATCATGATAGTGATATCTGTTACCTCAAAAAGAAAAACAGTTTTTCTGTCTCTGCTAGAAAATAATGTTTTTCTACATGTGACCTCACCATTAATTCCATTTTCTCTCTGTTATTCTACAGTGTCGTCTATGGATGGTTCATCCCTTCAACAGGAAACTTCATATAGATATTTCTTTTCTTGTTGTTGGAATTTTATATTAAAAAGATTGTAAGGAATATTCATATATATATATTTCTGATGTCAGAATAAGAATAGATGCAATATAAGTCCTTGATAATCACAACATACAAAGATATTTGAGTCCTAATTCAGATTTCTTTTATTAAAAATACAGTGAGAGTTTACTTGCTATTTTATACTCAGTGTGTGTATGATTTAAGGATCACTGGTGGCACACTGGGAGAAGCTTTGGACTGATAAACACAAGGTCAGTGGTTCAAGTCCATCAGCTGCTCCATGGGACAAAGATGAGTTTGTCTGCCTGGTAAAGATTTCCAGTCTTATAAATCCTATATACAGTCACTATGAG